ATTGGTTGATTTCTTGATAGCAGCCATTCTTTCTGGGGTGAGGTGGAATCTCAATGTTGTTTTCATCTGCATCTCTCGAATGACGAGTGATGTTGAACATTTTTTCATATGTTTATTTGCGGCTTTTATTTCTTTGTCCGAGTAATGTCTCTTCATTTCAGATGCCCATTTTTGAATTGTGTTTGGGAGGTCTGATTTTTTAAAGTTCTTTATATATTCATGATAGTAGTCCTTTGTTTGAGGAACAGCTGATTAAATTTTTTTTCCCACATTGTAAGTTGTCTCTTAGCTCTATTGGTGGTTTCTTTTGCAGTCCAGAAGCTTTTTAATAAGATGAGAGATCCCAGTTGTTTGATTCTGCTGAGGATTTGTTCATAAAGTCTTTTCCTATGCCAGTATCTTCAAGAGTTCTATTTAACTTGTCTTCTAGCAAGTTTAGTGTTCCTGTTTTAATATTTATATCTTTAATCCACTTCGATTTTCATTTAGTGCATGTTGAAAGATGCGGGTCTAGTTTTAATCTTTTAGACATCTTTATTATGGAGCTGAGTGAATATAAATTTGTAGGAGGCTGAAGTAGACAGCTAAGGAGTTGAAAAAAATGTGTGAAACTATTTTGGTCTTTCTGTAAAGAAAGTAAGGGTGAATCAACAAAAAGAAAAATCATTTTTAAACCAATCAGAAAAGTTCAAGGATGGATCTGTCTCATGAATCTGAAACATCAGATACAGCTAAGAGAAAAGCCACAAGAAAGTAAAGAGCAAAGTTTCTTGACCTGCTTAGTGGGTAATAAGCAACATGGTAGAAAGCTTTCTAGGTTTCAGTTTGACCTGAATCCTAGGTAGAGAGCCAGCTAGGGGAACCAATCAAGAAGGGCTTGTTTCTGTGCAGAATCTAGGCTAGCCTGGAAGTTAGACTCCAGATGGCTCTGAACAGGAAAGACTCAGAACTGAGCATGAAAACTTACAGCATTTTTTTCCCGTACAGGTCTCTGCACCTGTGCTGTAAGCCTGTGACTTGCCTCCCTCCTTCCATAGCAATGCACCCCAAAGGGTAAACACAGGATCAATCCGCTATGCAAAACACTTGGTAATGGGATCTGGGCCTCTTCCCATAACAATCAGAATCTCTGAAGCACTGTTCTAGAATCAGAATTTTAATAAGAACAATATATTCTTACTGAATTCTGAGGCAGAAGCACTGTGACTGCATTTAAGACTCAAAAATTTCATCTATTGTAAGATTCTGTACAAATTGTTTTGAGTCACCTATGAACACAACCTGAATGGAGAAATGTGTTCCTACTTCCTTGGCTAACTGTGACTGATTGGTAATGGCTGTCTGGATCATGGTGTTGAGATAAATAATGAGACCTTGCCTCGGCTTGGACAGGAAAATGGCTGCGATTAATTAGAAATGTCTGCCACGGCCACAAGTCGGGTATGGTGGGTTGGTGGTGAATGGGTGCCTCCTGTCTGTCATTTTCTCTTAGAAAGACCTAGCTATACTTTCTCATTTTATGATGAAGTACAGTGTTCATATAAATGACTAGATAGAAACATACATATGCACTTTAAAGGACAAAAATAAAACACATCTTTTAAAATTTTCTCTAGATAGCAGGTTCCAAAATCCTGGATAACATGTTGCATTGTCTCACAACTTTCTTAATGTCTAATTTAAATAAATTCCTTTTGGTGTAATTTAAGTTCAGTCCCCTTCATTCTATCCTCAGAGAAAAACAGAACAGCTGCTCCTTCTCTCTTACTCCATATGCCTCCCTATTTTTAAGAATTCAGTTCTCCAGAAAAAAAAATTAATGAGACTCTTTTATTTTAATGAGTTATTTTTTGGTGGATTGGCATTTTTTTCTCTCCCAAGCTCAAAATTCTTGGTTACAGAGACAAATTAGAAGAGAACATTGAGAACAGAAAGAATTTAGATGTCATCGAACTCTCTCTTTTCACAGAGAGCAAGAGGGCCAAAGGATGGAGAGCCTGGCTTGCTCACATAGCAAAAGTAGAATGGAGACTCAGCTAACTATCCAATCTCCCCACACAGAGTTACTTGTACCACGCTATAGTATTTCAATGCCAAGTATGTTTTGAAGGGAAAGAATAAGCCCAGAGACCAAATAGGTTGGATTCATTTTCAGTACCCATCAATGGCTTCCTATTTCAAGCGCCTGAGTGTTTTTGTTAGAGGGTTTCAAAGTCATGCCTGAGGCAGGTTGGAAGAACTGGGGGATTCAGTCCTCTGGAGCAACGTCAGCCAAGGAGGAATGGGAATGGGTAGATAAGCACCTGATTTCTCACCTCTGCCTTGATGTGACCATTTTGAGACAGGATCTTCATAGATGTGATCAAGTTAAGGTGAGGTCATACTGTATTAGAGTGGGCCCTAATCCTAGACATGTATATATATTCACAGATGTATGTGTGTGTATACATATCTAAATATATATGTTAAAACTCATTAAGTCATATATTTTATATAGGCCTATTTATTGTATGTAAATTATACCTCAATGAAGTTGATTTTAGAAGCTTACGAATTTAAGAATGCATTCCCCATCCCTTTCTTCTTTCCTTTCATTTTTTAGGTGCTGGAAATCAAACCTTGAACATGCTAGGCAGGTGCACTACCACTGAGCTCCCCTGCCCCAGCCCCAAGAACACATTCTCTTTGGTCCAAGAATTCTGCTTCCAGGAACTTATCACATAAAACTACTTTCAGAATTATGGAAAGATGCATGTACAAAGATGAGCATTGCAAGATAGTTTGTAGTTGTGCAAATACGGAAAATGTTGAAACACTCATCAAGAGGGCAATAGATAAACAAGCAAAGGCTTAAGAGCCACTAGAGCCTGCTCTATAGACTCGGTGGTTCTGTATCTGAAAGCCATGCACACTGCCTGGCCCATTGTATGTATAGATGTAGAAGAAGAGTAAGAAAAATTAAGATATAGTAAGTGAAAAGTAAATCAATTTTCAGGACTACATGATCCCACCTTGACTGGAGCTGTTTATTTATATGAGAGCCAGAGTTAATTTGGTGTCTTTAGGGTTGTGTAACAAGATTGAAGGTCTTGCAGGGAGCCTCTGTTCTTGGGTGAGGCTGAGACTTCCTTGGAAGAGGTCATTCAGGAAGGATTCCTGTGTAGGGAAGTGAAGATGAACTCTCCCACCATAAAGGGGTTGAAGATGCATCAGTAGTTCCTTCACTGCCACAGCTTCCTCCGTGCCCAAATCCCTTGAGGCAAACCCACAAAATAGTTCGGTGTCCACAGGATACCATAACCACAGTGCTCTGGTACACAAGGTTTCATGGAAAAAAAGCAGCAAAGACTGATGGAAAGGGAAAAGGCCTTTCTCACTGGGGCCTGAGACAGGCTGATGGATCTTGATGGGGTACAGAAGTTGTTCAGGTGAAGGCAAAAAATAAGAAAGAAGTGAGCACATAAGCACAGAGGCTTGGCATACTTGGTTATGGTCTGAGTTGTCATAATCTCCAACAGCCCCCATTCAGTGGGCAGAGCAGGAGCACCAGGAAGATGTCCAGGGTGTAAATCAGGCAAATGAGTTTGGCATGAGATCTGGTGCTGAGCTGCAGTGAAGGGAACACTAGGGTTTAGATAGGAAAAAAAATTAATGGCTGGTGTCTTTACATAGAGAGAGGGATTCAGACACCCAGAGAAACACCAGCAGCAAGGCCACATGGCAAGACAAGCAGAAATTGTAGTGGTATACCTGGAAGCCAAGGATTACTGGAAGCTGCTAGTCATAGAAAGAGGCAAGGAAGGATTCTTCCCCCATATCCTCAATGAGAGCATGGCCCAGATGGCACCTTGATAACTATGAAAAAATAAATTTCTGTACTGTAGTTTCAAACTACCCAGCTTGTGGTGCTTATTAAGACAGCCCAACAAAATTAATACATAACACTGATCCTAAAAATGCTAAGACATCATAAGAACCATAGTGTTTGTGGGGAAAAAAAAAGAGGAAAGAATAGGTGACATTATTTTAAGGGCAAACAGTGGTGAAAAGAATTTTAAGTTAATAAATTTAGGAATTTGTGTCACCTTAGGTGTCTTTTTACTGTCAAATCAGCAATTAGAGGTTTGGATCTGACAGAAGGTCAAGTCTCCTTTCCATCACCACCTGTGTGACCTTGGCATCATAGCTGAACTTCTCTGGGGACTAGTTTTCTCATTTTTAAACCTAGAATATTATTAGTTCTTACCCATTGGGTTGGCTTGAGAATTAATCAAAACCGAGATTCTGAGGCACTGTGTACAGTCTGCCCCTTAAAAGTTCTCCTAAGCAATAGCTGCTGCTACTGTTGTGAAGGTGGGAATTGGTGACGTTTCTTCAGTAAACATGCTTCAGTTAGCACAGGAAAAACTAATTTTGACTGGGCCAGTGATTTTCTTGCAAACACAATCTTTCCAGAATTTGGGAGATGCCAAGACCGCTGTGTTGTGGTATTAGAGTCAGGTGCCAGAGGTTCAATCCCTCATCAGCATCATCTGTGTGGCCATTCACTTCCTGTGTCTAGATGCTCCCAGGGAAACAGATGCTCTCTGGTTTCCCCCTAAGTACATCAACCTCGGGTTGCTCCCAAGTATTGTTCATTCCCAGGTGAATCAGTAGAACCGGTGACCAGGGTGGGGGCTATGGCTGGTTCCTGATACCCCTTTAGCTCATACTTCCAAGAGGCATGGATTAGTAGTCTAAACCTGTTTCTGTATCTCTTGGCAGGGCTTATCTTTTCCTCGGGGGAGGAGAAACAGAGATATTTCTGCTTGCTGAGGACTCCGGATGCTCAGTCCTTTAGACCATCACACCATACTTCTTCCTTCAATGATCGGAATTGTAAGGGAAATAGCTTTGTACTCATTTAGCTTCTTACAGTTTGATGCTATGAATATTATATCTTCTTTCTCCACTGAGATATAATTGTCTATTGCCTTTTTTCATGTTGAATTTCTTAAATTTTTTACAGTGCTTTTCCTGATGGAGTTACCTCTTGGATGAATCAAGCACTTTTACCTTCTCTACCTGGGTGGCTGGCTCATAATTGCCACCAGTCTGTTGGGATGACCTGAGCTCAGCTCATACCTTACAGGTTACTGTAACACTTCCTGAAGATTTACATTTATGTTTCATCTAGATGTAATTTAAGATCTTCTTAAGCTCAAAAGAGTATAAACGAACTCCCACCTGCTAAGCTGGCTTCCAGGAATGATGCAAGATGGAGCTGTCTCCTTCTTTGATTGATCAAAATATAAGTATTAGAACCTTCTCCCATTTTTTCTTCTTAATTCTAAATTCAGTAATTTACTCGACAAGCACGATGGTACACACTACCCAGTTTTAATCAAGGCTAGCACTTTATCTTATTTGCTTCAAATATTGCAGATAAACTTCAGATGCCCTCATCCCTCCTCCCATCCTTAGAGGGAAACACTATCCCTTATTCTTTTCCAAAGATAACTTAGTTTTTGCTCCATTTGGTGATTGAAGGGCTGGGGAAATGGAATTATATTCATTGCATTTCTCCTTTCTGCTTTTTTTTTTTTTTTAATAAGCATGGATTGTACTCTTTGAATGGGAGGAAATAGACCCTGAGTGTCAAATATTTGAGATGTGGCTTTTGTTTATGTTGCCAGTGGTTGAAATTTGAAGGGGAAAAAACCTAGCATGGGTTTAGGGTTTTTTTTGACAGATCCATGGAGCTGCAGAACATTATCTATTTTGCTTAAGGCCAAAAACTTGAATTTATAATTCTACATGAGCTTCTCAAAGGGGAAACTAAACAATTCAGCCCAAGATTTTTTCCAGTGTAAATTTTTTGCTCCTCATTGGACCGAATGCCCAGGGGAACACAAATAAATAGCAAAGGATCACCTTTTGAGGAGCTGACACACCAATCAGGATAAAAACATGTTAAAAAGAGAGTAATAGGAGACAGACTATAATCAAGCTTGCAATCCTGTTGGGAAGAAATCTGAGTGCCAAAAGTAGGAAGAAAAGAGTGGGTTGAGGTGAAATCAGGATGTGAGAACAAGATACCAGAGTAAAAAGGCAGCAAGAGTAGATGCAAAGATAGAGAATTGTGGAAGTCATATTGTAGGCTTGGTTTCATTTTTCTAAGAACCTTCCTTTGAATAATTCACAGAGCGCTCTGCAGAGTGGCATTTTAGTTTGTAGACCCCTTAATAAATATTCATTGTAATGGCAGAATGTGTAATTAAAAATTAAAATGCTGTTGTTCTTAAGATACTCTCACTTCTTAATATTATTTGGTAAATTGCTTCACCATCTTGGACACAGACTTCAGTGTGACAGAGCAAATCTTTCAGCATCCCCTGAAAAGGTACAGATTTATAGGGCAGAGCCACAAAATGAACAAAGTTCTCTCCAGAATGCATCGGTTTCATTTACACTTAAAAAATTCAGAAAATTTTCCAAATAAAAGCTTATATTATAATTTCTATTTCCCATCAGTAGCTGCTTTTGCTATCACTAAAGCAATGTTTTATGTAACTGTGTTTTTGCTTACATTTCTAAATTGATTGTAAAGTAAATTTCAGTAAACTCAATCTTTTTTTTTTTGGTACTGGAAATCAAACTCCAGACCTTGCGACTGCGATTGCGAGGCAGGCAGTGGAACCGCTGAGCTAAATCCCAGCCCTCAATCTTATTTTTTATTACTTCTTTTTATGAAATTAGAAGACTATTCCTTTAGGAAATTTTTTTCAATGTATAGATTTGCAAGCTCTATATTTAGAGTGATCAACTAAGGAGCTTAACAGACTCTCGCAAGCCAAAATCTTTTAAATTAACATTTATATTTTTCTGATATTAAATATTATATAGTTAGCCCTCTCTACCTGTAGATTCCACATCTCCTGGTTCAATTACTTGCACGTTGAAAATATTTGAAAAAAAAACTGCATCCATACTTAATATGTACAGACTTTTTTATTCTCATGATTCCCAATACAGTACAGAATAACAACAATTTAGAGTATTTACATTGTATGAGGGATTATAAATAATTTAGAGATGATTTAAAGTATACGAGGGGATGTATTTAGGTTATATATACTTTCCATTTTACATTTAGGACTTAATCATCTTAAGACGTTGGTATCCTCAGTGTCCTATGACCAATTCCCCTTAGACACCAAGGGACAACTGTACATGATAATTCTAGAGAGACTACACTTCTGGCCAGGTGTGGTGGCATACCCCTGTAATCCCAGTACTCAGTAGGCTAAGGCAGAAGGAGCACTGCAAGTTGGAGACATCCTGGACTATGTAGGTGAGTTCAATTGGAGGGAGCAAGGAAGGATGAGAGGAAGAGGGACAAAAACCAACTAAGATGTGGTGTGTACATGTGCAAACTCCCCAGGATAAATGTAATCATTATGTACTGCAGACCTGTACTAATAAAAAGATACATAAAGAAGAGACCAACCTAAGCTACATAGTGGGGCCCCACCTCAAAAAACAGAATCAAAAAACTAGAAATCACCCATAATACTGTATAGATACTATTGGTTGCATATTATTTTAATTTATAAATAAATTTTAAATAAAATTGGGGTCATGTTGCATGCATAGTTTTGTTTACTGCTTTTTTCATCTTTTATTATATCATAATCATTGCCTATAACATTAAATATTATTTACTTATTTATCTTTGTGGTGTTTTGTTTTGGAAGACGACTAATACCACTGAGGTACATTCCCACACCTCTAAAATTATTTAAAAGCATAATTTTCAATAGTCATAATATTTTATAGTATGGACTTATAATTAATTTAAACACAACTGTGTTATTGGGTATTTATGTTGCTCTTAATTATTTCCTATAACATATAAGACAAATTCTTTACATAACTATATTTGAAGCATTTCTGAATATTTTATAACATATATTCCTAGGAGTTGAGATTATAGTGTCAAAAACAATGGAGATTTTAAAGACTCTTAAGAAGTAGCCCAAATTGAATTCTGTAAAGCTATATTAATCTAAATAAAGTGGTGTTTCCATATAACATGCTGCATTGCCTTCACTTCCAAGCAGACTAGGTTCCAATGTTCAAGGATAAGGGAGTGAACCTAGCAGCCCCCATTCCCCCTGTTCTGTTTTCTTTATTCTCTAACCCCCACCAGGGGTGTGCTGGAGATGGCTTATATCATTTTTGTGAGGAATTTTGTGAGATAATTGTTAAATATAGTTATTAAACAATTACAAGATATAAACCTATCACTAAATTATAAAAACAAAGATGACAAACACTCAAAACTCAAAACTCATCACTATGTAATCTTACTATATTTTGCTATTTTTAAGAAGCAACAATAGTTTAATTTTGTAATTCTAGACACATAAAAGGATTCTGAGCCTCAAAAAAGGAAGAAACTTAATTGTCTAAATTTTTACCATATGATTTACAATGAAATGATGATCATAGATCTACCAAACTATTAAAAGTGCCAAGCAAACAGTCTGCTTTGCTTCTATGTATTTGCCATTACTGTTTCCCAGCATGCTTTACTGTTCGAGAGTCACTTGTCCTCTCCATTTAATGTTCTTTTTACAAGGGATGGGTGTAAAACAATGAGTAAACAGCCAAATAAGTGAATACAGAGGTTAGAGGAACAGTTTCATATATTATTAATACCAACCAAAATAATAATTTTTCAGAATGCCTTTCTTACAGATGAAAGTAAATCCACTAAAATTTCCACCAAATTAATCAAAATCATGCTCTCCAGCTATTAAAGAATTATATCATTGTATTATCACTCTATTATTTTTTATTAGTACACATTTGCAGTACATAATGTTTACATTCCTTGTGTGGAGATGGTACATGCACATCTTTTCTTTTTTTTTTTTTGCTTAAATTCTTTTATTGGTACATTTTAGGTATACACTACATTTACATTTATCATTGGGGGCTTGTACCTGTACATGATGTATCTTGGTTCTTATTTTTTCCCCATTCCCTATGCTCCCTTCACCCCCTCCACCCTTCCTGTACATGTACATCTTATTTCCGTTCTTCATCCCCTTTCCCTCTCCTCTCTTCTCCCTTCATCTCTTGATCCCTTTCCCTTTGAGAAAGAGCTATCTCTCTACTTCCTACCAGCTGTCTTTCATTTTGCTCTTTATTTGGGTTTCTTTGGGTTTAATTTGGGTTTCTCATGTAAGGGACAGCATGTGAATTTTTTACCTCCACCAGATCTCTCTGGGGGAAATATGTACTGGTGTACAATGGTAGATCTCATTTCAGTTCCACGTTCATTGATGCCACCCACAGTAGTAACTTAACATTGGCTTAGCAGAAGTATTTACACTGCAGAAATTGTTATAAAATGGAGATTGGTTTGTTATTTTTTTGATTGTCTCAACTTAAGAAAATAAATAAAATATTGATTTGTGAAATAAACTTAAAAATATTCTACGTCTGCAACTGTTCCATTGTGAATGGCCTTAAAAATGAGAAAATAGTATTCCAGGATTGAAAACTATTACCTGGTTCAGCAGAGAAGTTACGCATATTATGATGAATGAATGAAATTCCAATATCCACCTTCACTGTCTCATTTTCATCTTATGAGCTAAAGTCCATGAAAATAACTCAGGGCCCTGGGTCATGTTGTCATTTGTGTCAGGACTGCTCTCATCTCTCAATGTTGTGAGCAATTTCTCTACTGAGTTGGATAGTAACCAAATACTTATTCATAGTCTGATTTTATTACACTATTGTTAATGACAGAATTATTAAAACTGATGGTGGATTTTGAAGAAATTGCAAGTCACACTGATGCAGAAGTATAAATTGAAAACTAAGGTAAATATTTTAGTTTAACCCCCACCCCACCCACACTCACACCCAGGGCTTAAGTGTAGCTCAGTGGTATGGTTTTGCCTGGTACAAAGCTCTTGGTTCAATCCCTAACACTGTGAAAGTAGAAAAAAACATTTCATTTTCTAAAATTACCATAAAGAAAAATATTTCCAGAAAATTCCACACTAACCCTCAAGTGCCCTTGTGACTTTTACTAATTTAACATGAAATTATTTTTCAGATTCTTGTCTCTAAAATGCCAAAGTAACAGAGTGATCTTGTAGTGAAGTTGAAAGAGGTTTCAATTTAATGAACATAATTTGTCCAAGGATGAGAAATAGTCTAATAGTACATCATTTACCAGATTTAAAGACAATCAATTTATTGGAAAAATAGGGATCAAGTTGAGATGCAACTCCACTTATCACATGATCATTAACTTACAACTATAGGCTGACTATGGACAAAAGAATTCAATAAAATAACAAAGGTTTCTGTGAGAATCCATTTTCTCTATGGAAGTATAATAAAGAGTATTATATATGTTCATATTATTATGACCGTGTACTACAATTCATTATATTGGTAGAATTTATGACAAGCATACACATGATTTTCTCAGAGAGCTGACTGGTAAACATTTATCAGCATATACATATTTTACATTGACTGTCCTGTAGGATTGAGTTTCTATTTCTTCTATTCTGATTCATCTTTTTTTTTTTTTTTTTGGTACCAGGGATCGAACTCGGGTCCTTGTGTTTGCACAGCAGGTGGTGAAACCACTGAGCTAAATCCCCAGCATATTTCTTCTATTCTGTTTTGATCACAGCTAGTATTCCAGGATCTACATTAGGCCTGCACTCCAAGTCAATGTCAGAACATCTGGCAGAAGGCCAATGGCAGGTGTCGGCTCTGTGGAGAACCCCTCTGCAGTTGGCCTGGGGCCCAGTGTTCCTTAGGCCTCTGGCTACTTTTCTACCAATGTACAGAGATCTTTCAAAAACTCAGGCATTGCTCCAAGTATTGGACTCCAAAATCCTCAACTAAATTTTAAAATAGTTATACAAATGTCATATCACAATTTTTTTTCCAGAAAGAGCTGCCAAGTGTATATTATCTAGGCTTGGGATTGCTTATATTTGATGTTTTAACTTGTTTTGAGAATGCCAAGTTCTAAACAATTTATAATGAATTTGTTTTATATGCATGTTTGTGGGATTCAGCAGAATCTACTTAGTCCCCATGTGCAAATATGTACGGGTGAGAAGTATAATTAATAAGAGCATTCCCCTCACTGGGCCAGCATGGCGTTGTCAACTTATTCCAACAGAGAAGTCTCATGGGTGTTGGTAAGAAATAATTTCTCCGCTGATCACAATTGAGAAACC